AAAATGATATACTTTGGTGATTGACTTGCAGATCAACCCTAGAAAAACCGAAATGCTCATGACGCGCCGTGGTCGAGCGCAAACATCCCCTGCAGCCTAGCGAGCGAATAATTCCCAACGTTTCAGACATTAAGGACAGGGTTGACCATCCTAACTGACGGACAAGCTACGAGTGGCATCAAGTAGTGCTTTCATACACCGATTTTGTCATTTATTCTATAATAACGGTCGTGCACTTTTGGTTCCACAGCACAACTGAACACGTTTATCGCTCTTAGTTTCACTTATTCCCATTCCAAGGATTATTTCAAAGCTAAATCATAGAAATTTCGCTGCATAATTGTGATATTTATAAAATTTAGGTGAAAGAATATTTTCTATCTTTAGGTACCTTTAAGAAGAATACGTAGAAAACCTAGACAAAAGTACCACACATCTACGCGAAGCCTGATGAATGATGACATCAAATTTGCTACATGACTGGTACTGCCCATAATGGACCGTCGGAATTCGAAAGCCGCTGTTTACACCAGACTGCTTGAATAGGAGTAGAAGAAATAAGGATGTTTGGCGGTTAGTGCTGGGTGATTGTGATTGCGATCTCGCACTAACGCACTTTCATGACCTCCATGGATTGTGGCGTCCAAGATTTGTCAGGCGTAATGTTGAGTAGATTGATGATGTTTGCTCAAGTGGGCATCAATTCGAAGAAGATCCAGGTTGGTTAAAATATGAACTGACATGAATACATGAGAACTGTGGACAAGGAACTGGGTCAAGTTAAGCTTCCTCACTACTGAGCTCGGGTCGGTCTAATCAATATTCACGGGTACTGAATGACCTGACGGAATGTCCTTAAAAGTATTCTCTTGTCTCTTATCACTTTCTATGTGTATCGCGTTCAATTTGTAATCACTCTCAGCTTATCATTTAATTTTACTCCGTTCGTCATTGGTTGACCAAATAGATAGCAACCAAAACCTGCGCAAAAATATACACGCTGAATTGTTGGACAAAATGAAATTAAACTGAAACCCCAGGGTCACTTCCGCTTTGTGGTTGTAAGGATCTAAGTTAGCGAGAGAACCAGGCACGACCAAAGTTTTACTCTGATACTGGATAAACCAAATGGACGAAGCAGCACAATGGGGAAACAACGCAAATTTCTAATGCAGTTTAGAGAAGAAAGCCTTGTCCTGAGGCCTCAGTATCACAAAAGCGATAAATGAAGCGGCTATCTACAACGTTTTATCATGATTCAATTCTCCTGGTTGAAGTGAGCCACATTTAAATAAATAGCTGACCCCCAGATTACACACCATTTCTTGCAGTTAGACAACAAAGGGGACTGAACCCCGTTTTCCCGAATGGGGTCCTAAAGGCCATCACCAATTAGGAAGGGGCTAGAGAACTGGATGATAAGCATAAAGAAAGATATGACCAGATTAGTGACAACCTACGCAAAATTGATTCGGGCAAAAATAAATACAAGGATGAGGTCATTAGGAATAATGGCCTGATTGTACATAGACCGCACTTTCATCAACACGGATTGGTTTGATTACCATTTGTGGTTGAGACACTTATCAAGTGCCCCTTCTCAATGACATCGCTATCGCATCCTAATCAATTTTCCTAGCCTGCTGTTTTGTTTATCAGAAGTTTGACGGAGCTTTACGTTCCTGATTCGCGTTTTGATCATTCATATGATAGGTAAGAAATGAATCTGTGTGATCCATTTAGATAATACTGGAATTGTGCACTCCATCTTCAGGGAATGGACAAAATTAGTAAAGGTGGCTTTACAGGTTGCGCACTATCACTCAGAGTGTTTAGGTTTGTAAATCATGACCCCTTTACTTAACCCGCCCAGCCTACTGGTCACGTGCTGCACTTGGAACACTTTGGGCCGTAAGGGATGTTGCTAGAGGATTCTAATAGGATTGATTTAGTTGTACCGTAGCCTATGGGTTTTTCAGTAGTATGTATATGAAGCTGTACATGGTGAAGAACGTTCTAAATTCCATATCAGTATAAAATGTGAACAGATTTGTTCTGGAATGTCATCAGTCAAACCTAATGCATAAAAATCAAAAGAACCGATAGTATCTCATATATGCTAAAAATGTTCCCATACAATATAAAACTACCCCCATGAGTTTGTTTGACGTACACCAACCAGAAAGGTACATACCTGATATGCATTGTACTCCGCATTTGTGGCAGAATAGAGTGGATACTGGGGTATGGGAACCATGATTCCAGCGCGCTTCGATTCATCGCCGCCGGTTGCCAAAAGTTGTAGAATGGACTGACAAATGAAAAGCCCAGAATTCAGAATTCCCGGATCATTAGAACGAAAAAGACGATAAAGACGTAATGAGATAATCTATAAATATTGCCTAACTTAAACTATTTAATACGGAGTATATCAGCTTTTATCAGATACCACATGAATTTTTTCGGTACCAATCAAGGCGGGTTTATTTTAATTCATATTTTTGATTCAGTCAAAACCGAAGAGGGAATTGTTTGGTTGAAGTTCAGTAAAAGGTTATCCAGTTTACGTTTTGAAACTTAGTAGGCTGCCACAAAGCACTGATGATAATAAAATGCCGCAAAATTACGTATTGACAACTTAGGAGTAACATTATTAGTTATAATATTTAGGCAATAGCAGTTACGTTACCATTCTCCCAGACACCGATATTCATACTGGCATATCTCTATGTTGGGCGCTTGGTCACAATAGCCCTAAATCGAGGACCCGTAAAATCTACTTTGAATAAGCAGTATACATGTATGATTTATTCAGTTGGGATCTAGACATAAAACAGCACAGATAATCAAATAGTCTGCCTATAGATATGCAAAACTGGCCTGAAAAATACCTCAAGTTTAAATTTGCAAATTAAATTTTATTCACAATTAATCTATTAATCAATTAATTGATTGGTTAGATCACGTTGAATGCAATTATTTTGATTCTGGACATCTGCTAAGAGAGCATAGAAAGACTCATCTTAACAACTCGCAGAGTATAATTTGATAGAAGCATATTTTAAATTCAGCAGTAAACATTATCCTACCTTCACAGCTTCACTGGCGCCCGAGGATAGGAATATGTTGTTTGGATTAGCCGGCAATCCATCTCGATTCTGGATATAACGAGCAACATCCTCGCGGACAATTTGTACCCCAGTTGATTGACTGTAAACACCTTGAGAGAACAAGGACCAGGGAAAACTCGAAGATAAGTAAAGTTACGTGCGGACATAGACTAGCTTGTTTTTCTTTCAGAATTGGTTGGGAATTTTTAACCTACCTATTACCGAGAATCTGAGAACCAATCACTCAAATAGGGCATCCCATTTTATAAGTAGCAGTTTTGAAGTCCTCAGTATTAATATGAAAATGTAATATTAGCCCGTTTTGAGTTTCTAAAACCTCCAGCGTTTTCCTCGTTTAAATATAACCAACACTTGATCGTTTGCAAACATGCAATCCTATATTGAACAGTGCATAATTTGCCGATGAACATTATTGGTTTGTACCTTTTTAAAATGTTCTGTTTTCAAGGGCATAAATACTTTGATGTAGACTGGATATAATTTCCACACAATAAATTGGACTGTATCACTATCTCGGTGACTAAAAACCAGTATTTATTGGCATGAAACTGTTACTGAAGTTACATTGAGGTTTTCGTACAAAATAGTCGCTCAGATTTTTACCTCTTAAACTTTTAAAACTACGTATTCGGATCTTTTCCAAATCATATAGGAGTTACAAGAGGCATATTTCCAAAAGATCATGTTCGATTTATTGTACCAAAACTTCGTAGCAGCAACCTCAAACATTGCTCAAAGCATGGATGAGATGATGCATATTAAGCAGAAACCCACGGATTAGACCATACGGCAAAGTTTCAGTTCCTCAAGGCGATACTGGCGGGGTGGGGCGGCGTTTTATGACATGTAATTTTGTAGTAATGTTTCAATAACCGAATGTTCTGCCCGAGTTGACTGAGAGAGAACAATTTGGCATTTAAGAGCAACAAGACTTAGAACCGAAACTAACTGACTACGCGGTAAGAATGACTTCACTTAGTACATGGTGAGGTAAGCAGAACTAGATGTTCACCTTCCTACTGTCGTTTTGACACATTTACAATCGGTTGTCTGATTAGAATGAGATAAAATAACTGATGAACAGCTGAAGCAGACAGGTTGTATCTTTTGTCATGGAAGCCGCAGAAAACGATTACAAATAAATGAATAATTCAAATGTGACAGGAACTTGCAAAAACTTCAGTTATCAATTTGAAGATAGAATTATGCACTATTTCTCATTTCATGAGTCCATAACGACTATGCTGAAGCATAAAAGAAAACTTTTTAAACAAACGTTTCGACTAGTTTCGTGATCCAGGAAATCTTTACTCCAAACGTGTTCTTTTGTAGGAATACGGACGGTCTTTTGATTGACGATCTGCGTCACAATGTGTAATCATTGGATTGTAGATCACAGTTGGTGGTAAGGAAATATCTTTTGAATTGACATTTAGTTATACCTACTATTTTTTGTCAGAGCAATGCTAAAATTTTTCTAACTTTATATATATATATACTAAGGCT